CCACGTATAAGTGGTGAAACGGGTGGAAAAGACTTCCACCTCGTTCATCCGAGCGCGGATTTGAAACTTGCGGCGGCTTTGACAATACGTGGGGCGTTTGAATTCCAGGGCCAGAAGTGTAGCGCCACTTCGCGGCTATATGCCCCCAAGAGCCGATGGGAAGAGTTGAAGAATTATATGCTTGGTGTGCACGAACAGCTCAAGATGGGTCAGCCAGATGATTTCAAGAGCTTCATGTGTGCCGTTATCGATGAAACTGCCTTTGAACGGAATAAAAAGTATATAGATATTGCCAAATCGAGTCCATCAACGTATTCTGTTATTGCTGGTGGTGGATGCTATAAGACGGAGGGTTGGTTTGTGCAACCAACAATCATTGAATCGAAGGACAGTCAGGCACAGCTCATGCACGAAGAGATCTTTGGACCCATCTTAACGGTGCATGTGTATGATGACAGCAAGCCAGGGTTCTGGTCGGATGTGTGCGATGTCGTCAATCGCACCACAAAGTATGCACTCACTGGCAGCATCTTTGCGCAAGATCGTCAGGCCATTCGTGATGCAACAACAAAACATTTGCGTTACGCCGCGGGGAACTACTATATCAATGACAAATGTACCGGTGCGGTCGTGGGCCAACAACCTTTTGGTGGTGCTCGTGCGAGTGGTTCAAATGACAAGCCCGGCAGCCCTCTTTTCCTGACTCGGTGGGTTTCGGCACGTACAATTAAAGAAAACTTTGACCACAGCACGCAGGTGTCGTATCCTCACCAATTGCCAGACCGCTTGTTTGTTTAGGGAAGTAATAGCATGAAGTGAGTGATGCAATGTGGCCAATAGAAATACATCTGTGTGAGAAATGAACGGCCCCAAAATTTTATTACTGACTTCCAGCAGTTGGGTGATTACACAAATCGGGGACGGTGGGGGGAAAAAGGGGTTTATGGAGGGGAGTTTGATATTTTCTTATTTAACTACGCGTTTCATGTGAACAAACAATATGCGATCCGTTCAGAGCGAACGAGGAGCGTTTGTGTATTTGTTTACTTCAAGTGGATTGGTGCTTTTTCTTTTCTTCCTTCTTTTTTTTTTCTTTTTTTTTCTTTTTTGTGGGTGATGAAAAGACATGAGTAAATGATGCCGCAAATATGACTTTTTTGATTATACTTTTGTTGACCGCTTTTGGAGGCAATGAGCGACGTATTGTCCGCCCTCTTTCAATTGCCATCACACACACAAAATTGATTTTCTCTTTTTTTTTTTTTTTTTTTTGTTGTCGTTGTTGCCATCAGGTCCGAAAAAAAAGAAAAAAAAATGCCTTTTGTTTGTTTTTCATTTATTTATTTATTTATTTCTTCTACGCAACCAACATTCGGTGCGTTTGTTTATTTTTCTTTCTTCTTGTTTCTCCGCTGCGTCACACAATAGACATTGAGGAAAGAAGCCACGGGGGGTGGCTCCAAAGGCATAAGAGGTGGCGGAAGTATGTCGCGACGCAAAGATAACAAATCCCACCTGAAAGAATTCGTCCGTCGACTTCGCGATCAGGGCCGTCAGGGAACGCCTCAGGCATCGGCCGGGCGGGGGAGAGCGCGCACGGGTGAAGGCAGAGGACGGTACGCTCTCTCCTTTTCAGGGCGTTCCGTGGTGGCAACCGCCCCCACACGTGGCCGCTCCTATCTCCCACGCTCGCGCAAGGATACCGAAGATGACAGCATGCCTCTTACTGTTGCCGATGCCGCTTTGTCGTCAACGGATGACGCGCGGGGTCAAGGACGGGAGCATCAGCGTCGCCATCGTGACGAGGAGACAAGGACGTCGGAGGAGAGCTCACGGAGGCGCCCTTCTCGCTCTACGGAAAGCGACCCACATGACGTTGTGTTGTCAGAGAGCCGCGCGTCTGTCCTCCCTTCCACATCGACAGGGAGCCGAACAAGCGGCAGCACTGATCCCGTTTCCGAACACGCTGCAAGGCGGGTGGACACGAGACGTGGAATGGGCAGAAGGAGAGGCGGGGACAGTGAGAAGAGTCTAAAGCGCCCGAGGACAGGTGGGCCCTAACGTGAATTGTCGTTCCCATCATTAGCAGTTTCTGCGCCAATTGAGGGCAAATAATGAGAGAGAGTAAACGGCAGCAAAGAAAAAAGAAAAAAAGAAAGATTCAAATAGCGACGAGTGTGGAAAACGCAAATAAATTATTTCGCGTGTCGAGGGCTCCAAAACCTCATTGCTGCATCTGATTCTTTTTTTTTTTTTTCTTTCTGCATAATTGGCAAAGAAGGGGGAACCAGTAAAAAAAAAAAAAGAAAAAAAAAACGAAGGAGAGACAAAAAATTATTTGAATGGTCTAAAAAAAAAAAAAACGTAAGGCTCTGTAAATGGTGCGGAATGGAAATGTTGGTGTTGTGCTCAATGGGGGGGGGCGGTGATCTTCTTCACGGAGGGGTGAATGGACCGCTCAATTTTGTCCGCCTTCTTCTTGTCAGCAACGACGAGGGTGTAAAGGTAGCGGCTGCATCGCACCTTGAACTTTGTCTGCGTCGGGTTGTGCTTCACCTTCACACATCTGGCGTCCTTGCGGGAGCAGATGGCGAGGAACTCCTTCACGCTCTTGATTTCACGGGGCATCGTTCACCACAGGCGGATCCTTGATGGGAGAAAAAAAAAAAAAGAAAAAAAAAAAGGAAGAAAAGTGAATAAAAGAGGTGCAGGTAGCGTTACTTAAAAAAATAGCGAAAGCGCACAAAAAGACGCATTGGAGTTGCTTTGGCAACTCAGCACCGCCATTGCAACAAACACCCAACTCGTTTCACTTCTTCCCGAACCCACCCGTTCAATTCCTCC